AAACTCATTAATAATTCATGAAGGAAACACAATAGAAATCATGACCATGAAGGAGGTTTTATATCTGATATAGATTCGTCTTCATTTGCATAAACTTTAACTTGGATTTTCTCTATCAAACTTGGTTCATTTTTTAAAGAATTCGGCACAGTATGAGAACATACATCAGGAGTTTTTTAAGCCGTTCAATAAACTCGCAGATCGTGTTTTATCGGGTCTAAAACCACTCGGCTACGCCTCGTGTTTTATACCCGATAAAACACTCCTGCTCGTTTATTAAACAGTACATAAAAACAATATCAAGCAAGGCCGGTGAAAGCTTTGAGTAGGATACGTATTATTTTATTATTATTGTTCAAATCAAACTAAAATGATCATGACTAAAAACACACTTACGAGTTCTATTCCAACAGGACAATCACCATGGCTGTCTAGTCGTTCAGATATGTACCGCACTTTACCCCTCAGTGGCACTTTATCATCTTCATTTTCTGGAAATACGACAACTCTCTGGTCAATTTTTAACTTATGTTCTTTTGCCATGTTTCTAACCGCAGAAGTATCTTTGCTTGAAAATGATGGCATCATATCCTTTAAGGTAGGCAATAATTCTTTCTGAGGAGGCTTATCTTGTTCTTGCCGAGGACGTAGTGCATCTATTGCAACAAAAACACCACGGTCTGCCTGGTAGTCGAAATATCTTTTGTATCTAAATTCACCATCACATGTGTCCTGTCCTTCAGATTCCTAAGAGATACGAACAGTTAAAAGAAATCATTTAAGAGATATAGTTGATGTGATTTGAAGAGGAGTAAACATACGATACATCTCTAAGATATTTATTTGTTACAATGCGCATTAGGGATTGAATTAAAAAAGAATATCCAGAACTCTTTTGTTATCGTTCCTTTGTGGAATAGAAGCGACAGTGCCTCAAAATTCGTGCGTTATGTGCAGGGTTTCGATCGTGCAAGCGCTAAATATAGTTGGAGACTTTAAAAAATTACACTGGGATTTTGTTATATAGATTTTTTAAATATTCTCCTTCAAATCCAGCGGCGCAAGATATCTAATTTATTGGGTATGTTTCTAAAGCTCTGTCGTTTGAAGGACTGTTTAGGAACCTTTCTTTTTTTAATTGATAGCAGTTTTTTGTAGCCATAGGTTTCACCACTTTTAAAACTCTGTTGGCTTAGGGAAAATGTAGGGACTTCATCTAGCTTTTTGTAGTATATTTTCTCCTGATTTTTACTGTCATACGTCTTTTTAGAACACCATTCTAGTTGAAAATTGTTTAATTTGAATATGACTAATAATCTTATATCACAAGATTTGATAGAAAGTTTTTATTCATAACAAAATGTTCACTTGTTTGTAAATATTGACCAAAACATTACACGGCATGATATGTAGCAGGTCCTGCTTTAC